TTGGTTATTCACTTGATACTTTTAGTTTGATTTGTTCTGTAATTCTCATTCATACGTGTTAACGCTGAAGAAGGACACAGGCGTGTCCGAAATATTCGTTTGCAATAACTTTTATGTCTCTATTATGTCAACGTATGCTATCGCTTCATTTTCGTATTTACTTTTATTTATATATATATATATATATATATATATATATACAATTTAAAAAATAGAAAAATGCTATGCTATTTTGATTAAGTTGTTAAATAAATATTAAATTAAGGGAAAATTTGATTATGCTTTTCAGATTTTTTTTTTCATTATATACAATTTTTTCTTGAAAAGAAAAGCTTTACATGAATTTTTGTACATAAATTAAAAATGAAATGTTTTTTTAAATTTTATTAACTATTTGACTTACTGGGTGGCTCTCATGCTTGCGACCTGGTCTTAATCACAGTATCCCAATTCATACAATTTCAATTTTCTTTTTTATTTTTTTTGCAATATTACATTATATCATTTTGTTAGATTGACTAAATTGATTTGTGATTGGTGTGTGTGATTATTAGTGTTGCTTGTGCCACGGCAAGTAAAAAATTACTTAATTCAATATCATGTAAGAAATACAAAAAAAGCTGTTATTAGTAGGTTTTAGTTGTAGTGTCTGTAATGCTTGACACATTACAAATCTTCTGAATAAATACAGAAATATTTAAGTAAATGCAGTCAAACATATTCAAATACATTTTTTTCTGTTTCTCAATATTGCTTTACTGTTTGATTAAGCTTATTTTTCCGTAATAGTGTCTGTACAGAGATGCTATTTCATTAGTAACCTGAAAGTTGTGATTGTTCCTATTTTTCTCACTCTCTCATTGTCTGTAGAAACTTTTTTTTTCTTTTATACTCTGTGATGTCTGTCTATATTATTTAGACTGCATAATTAAGTTAGCAGACGGCGTTGCGTCGTAAAGCGTTCACACGCAGTCAAACATATTAAAATACATTTTTTTCTGTATCTCAATATTGCTTTACTGTTTGATTAAGCTTATTTTTCCGTAATAGTGACTGCACAGTTACCGTATGCTATTTCACTTAGTAACCCGAAAGTTGTGATTGTACCTATTCTTCTCACTCTCTCATTGTCTGTAGATACCTTTTTTTTCTTTTAAACTCTGTGATGTCTGTCTATATTATTTAGACTGCATAATTAAGTCAGCAGACGGCGCGCCGCGGCGTTGTGTCGTAAAGCGTTCACACTTAAACAGTATAATTGTGAGAAGATATACAATGCAAAATGGTGATGATATTACGAATATAATCTATGCTCAGTTTATGTATGTTACTTAACGAGTGTAAATGACATCTTAACTTTCCAAAGCGTTGTTTTAAATCTCCTAAAAACAATTACTGCAATTGCCTAAATGTCTAAAAACAGGCCTAGATGACGGCCGAAGTCTCATTCTTGAACAAGTATGGCATCATAAATGTCAATAGGCTCTTTAAAAGTATTACACATGTAACCGTAAGAACAACTAATACAAAAATACAATTCAAAACCTCTAAAAGACTGTACGCTAAATGCCCACTTCTCCTTTCTAGATAAATATTATAGGTATCTGAAAATGTTACAATTAGACCACTGTATTCCATAAGGAACCTACGACATCTGAACATTAACTACTTAGGAATTGTTTGCACATCTCCTTCAACAATAATAACATCTAAAACCTTAACATTAATTAAGTGTTGTGTCTACCTTTTCGTAACCTTTTAAACCTTTCGGTATTAGGGTACTTTTTCTTTAACAAATGGCAAGAAAAATATTGTTATAACGAGATTCATTTGTAGAAAAATTTGTCCTAGAGACCATACTAAACCCATCAGTTTAAAAATCGATGTATAACTACACGTTAGTACGTATTTCACCATAAAACATACACTATTACATTAGTAATGTTCATCACTCTGGCTGCTAACATTGTCGATTCTGCTGATGACATCATTGAGTATAAGTAACTAATGTATCAAACTGAGTCTTGGATCCATCATTGATGTGGTTTTCAAGGGCCTGACTATTGGACTTGTCACTGAAGTTACATTGTGGTATTTTCTTGACTTATTTGATTGCTGAATTTCTTAATAAGTGCCTCTCGCACCTGAAAATAAAATTGGGTACCGTAAACATTAATTGTGGCTGTTTTAATAAAACAATATTTCATGAGAAATGAAAACAAAACAGCATTGGCATTACCTCTTTACTGAAGGCGCACTGCGACAGCCAGATAAACAGTCCTTGCATGGAGTTTAAGATGACATAGATGTAATGTAAGGCTTTCCAGTCACAAAAGACGAGGATGACACCGAAAATCCACGATATCCCAACGGCTGGTGTAAGGAGCAGTATACCAGTAAACAGAGTTCTTATACAAAAACAAATACATCCTGTTTTTAACGTGGTCACAACACATAAATAATTTAAAAAGTTTTTCACAAATAATTTTGAATAACTTATGTTCTAAATGTTAATGTGTAACGCTGGTCGTCCTGTATCATTTAAACACAAACAATTATTTTAACGCAAGGGTGAAAACCCGTAGGGCATTCAAAAGTATCGAAAGTGGCGCTCATACGTCCCCTCTCAACAGCAATAAAAACATGTAAATTTACAATTGTGCTAATAGAGGATCCTCTACACTATCCCCCTTCATCCTAGGTCCTCCATTGGCTTTTGGAACCCATAGCAGCAAAATAATGCTAATATAATTCCATATGGACCATTCGTATGAAATAAAAAATATTCCCGAAAAAGGCGCGGTATCAAGTTGATACTTGTAATGTCCACAAATAAATTAAACTTCAGAAAAATCTCAATAACAATTCTAGTCTCTATCTTTATTCAATCCTTCCTCAACGTTCTAACCCAGAACCCCCTACCCACGCAGGAGCAGTCCCCACGCCCTCAATCTTTACTCTCCACACTACTCAACTCTTACAACACGGTATAGTTTATACAGAACCTCATTGGTTAAATATCAAATATTATTCAACGAAATAAAAACTCTAAAATAACAAGGCAATTATATTATATTGATTTAGACTTAGACCTATTTTAATATAAAATATGACATAAATTAGCCTATTAAATCTCTAATCGGGTCAAAGATGGATAGTTCCAAAGTATAGCTTAAGCAATACGGCGTTATTATTTCAGCCAGGAATAGTCAATATTATGAAAAATGCGTATATTTGTCGCCTTAATAAATTGTATAACGTAAACAAATTTAAAAAGCTAAAATAGATCAATTGAATAAAGAAAAAAAACTGTAAATAACAGAAAAGCTCAAAAGTGATGGCAGTTGTCACTTTTTTCTAACCTGATTCGTTTGAAATTTTCCATTTCTTGTCCAGTTTGGTTCGGTCGTTGAGCCTTCTTGAAAGCTATATAGCCAATAACAACCAACTGTACGAGGACAATCTATAAAATTATATTGTATTTGTTGCAATAACGTCCAAATGTACTAGAAATATTATGTAAAAATAATTTTTGTCTTGGAAAATATAGGCAAAACTGTTTTATAGGCGAATGTTGTGTGTTGCAATGTAACAACTAACTCTACGTGGACAATCTATAAACATGTATACAGTGGCGTAGAAAAATATTTTTCATTGAGGGGGATGATTGGCGTGTTAGCCTGTGTCGTAACAGGCGCGGTGGGTGGGGCAGGGTGAAAACTGCCCCTCCCCTGACGGTATTTACCGGGCCGACCAAGTCGTCGTACCGGTCTGGGTAATAAGAGAAAAGAAAGAGGGGAGAGGGAGGGAAAGAGAAAGAAGAGGAAAAGAAAAGGAAAGAAA